AAAACAGAATCCTCCATGTTTAGAAACAATACTTCATATCCTATTTCTTTGTCTAATATTCAAGATTTATATAGATCCCAAATTCATATACTGAATGGTGTGAATAAGCTTTGAAAATAATAGTCACCACTTCAAAGAGAGCAGTGCTATTAATATACAGCTAATATTTTAAACTAATAAATCAATTTAACAAGCGGGTCTTAAATTTCCTTAACTCCCCATGATTTTATAATTCTCTATTTAGCTGTCATAATAAATCTCAATTCAAGTGTGTGACTATATAAATATTCATGCAGAATTAAATGTACACCTATAAATGTACAGATACATATGCAAATGTTCTTTGTGACTTCAGTTTATGAAAATATCTTCTGTTAATTCTTTCGGGAATCATACCACAGTGATATATGTGGACCCGTGTTTATAGCAGCACAGTTTATAATAGCTAAAATTTGGAAACAGCTCAATTGCCCATCAACTGGAGACTGAATAAAGGAGATGTGGGATTTTTTTTTATAAAATGGAGTACTACTCAGTCATAAAGAATGAGAAGCTAGAGATATTTATAGCTAATGGATGCACACTGAGGCCATACTCTTAAGTGAAATAAATAGGACACACATGTGTAAATATGGAATAATTTCTCTAGTGTGAGAAACTGAAAGTGTAAATAAGGATTAAAATGTATAATAGATAATGTGAAACAGGAAGAAAAGGTCCAAAGGTGAAGGGGAAAGGGGAGGGTGAAGGGAAAGGAAAGAGGGGAAAAGAATAAATGTGAGAAAAAGAAAAAACAGAAACAAAGTCTTTGTAAATAGGGAGGGATGGAGGGGTCAAAGGAAGGGCAGGGGAATGGGGAAAAAAATAAGAACTAGGATACAAATTCCCAATGATGAATGTCAGCATATTAAATATAATTCTATATAATACTAAAATATAATACTATATAATATAATTAAATATCATACTAAAATGTACCAATAAACATAATGAGTAATAAAAAAATCTCCCAGACACCCATTAGTCTTATAGAAATGACCACTTTGATATCATTTACATGTAATATATGAATTTGCCATTATATCATAATCACAGTATAACGACATTGTCTAAGATTTATCTATTAGACAACTCAGAAGTTTTTTAATGCTCTAGAAAAAAAATTATGAAGCCATTATCAAGGTGAATAAAACATTCCTGTGTCATGCATAATCTAATCCTCCAAATCTCAACAAGTTCTAATTGCAATGACTTCTAAACACCATTTTTGAGTCTTTCTCTGCAATCTGTTATAAGAATGACAAATTGCTTATTTTGGCTCACTGTTGCTGCAAGATCAACCAAAAGCTGAGCTTTGAGACCAAAACTGATAATTGTATAGGCAGAGTTTCCCTAATTACAAGCAGGCAAGCCTAAGTATTTAAGTGGCTAAACTTTAGCACTCCTAAATTCTGCCATTTACTCAACCCAGGAAGCAAAAACCAAGATTCAAAAATTTGTACACTGTTGCAATTTCTTCTGCAAAAGTTCCTGCAGAGTTTAGAGAAAATCTCCTGTAAAGTTTTTCTTATTGCACAGATTAAGGAAACCATTTGATTCCATGGATCGATGCTAATGATCATTAGTGGACAAAAATAAACTTCCTTAAATAAAATATGTGATTCATGCTAAATGTGTGAAGCCTTGTAAACAGCAGGATATGAAAGGTATAGGTGACTAAGACCCCCAACAGGAAAATGGTTAGGTATGAGAAGCAATGCACATGTCCAACAGCTTGATTTATCTATGTCACAATATACACATATAACATCAGGATATATATGTATGGTATAAAATATATATGGCATACAATATATATGGTATACAACATGATGTTTGAATATGTGTATATTGAGACATATATATTACATATTTAATTTTTACTTCTCAGTTAAAATAATAAATACAAAACAAAGAAGACTAGCCAATAAGATAGAGATCATAGCCAGAAATAAATTTGTATAGACAGGTACCAGGGGTTAACAATACTAAAAACAAATAGCCAAATAAAGAACAAGAAAAAGTCATAACAATAAAAAAACACAGTGAACATTTAATGAATATGTAGGCTTTTCTAAGTGCTTTAAATATATCATCCTAATTTACTTTCTTTTTTAAATTTTTATTTTTACTAGTTAATCATTCTGTTTGCAGTACATAATGATTACATTCATTGTGCTGAGTTGGCACATGTACATAGCTTAAGTCTTTTTTCATCCCTTTCCTTCCCTTTTCCTCCCCCTTGCCTTCATCTCTTGATCTCCTTCCCTTTTGCTGATTTATCTCATCAGCTTTTTATTTATTCCCTGGATACAAAGTAGCTGAGGAAATGCAGGCCCAAAGAGTTACTCCTGATCTCACAATTATTGAACCTCTGATGGGGACCTCAATTCCAGGCCAGTCTCAGTGAATGTGCCTAACTAGTTCCCTACAGTGTCCCCATCCCACTCTATCAAATAGTCTATGTGGGGGGAGGGCTAATGTGAATTTCTAAGAGAATAGTCAAACTGGAGGTTGTAGGCAAGATTCGGACTTGGACAGATGGTTTGGGGTCCCAGCTCTGAGGTGGAAGCTGGGCAGGGACATAAACAGCAATAAGATTAGGATATATGAGACAGTGTCCAGAGATTTTTTTTCAAGGCAAAATGACCCAGGAGGAAGAAAGTCTTTGACATATATCAGATACCATTTTGAGGTTCTAGCCCCATATCAGAGAAAAGTTAAAAATGGATACCAAAAAGTAACTCGGTATCCTCAACAAAGCCTGAATCCCTTTGCTCTTTTCATGAGTCACAAATGTCCATTAAGTGTGCACAGGTCTGTGGAGACAGGGTCTGCATGTCACTGCAGCAGAGCACTAGGTCCTAAGCTGAGCAGTACTCAAATTTAGCTTCTAAAATCTCAACTCACAAGTAGCAAATGCTATGCTTTCCTCTTTTCCAATTATCACTATCTTAATCCTCATACATGTTTATTAGAAAAAGATAACAATAAGACATCTACTTAGTTCAGTCATCTGAGAAACACCATGGATAGTATCGTACTGTAGGTCAAATTATGCATTCAATAATCAGTCAATTTAGTAAATAAAGAAAATCAAATTGCTTATTTTGCATCATGCAGAGCAGAAAAATTACTATTTGAATGTTATGCTTTTCAAAGTGTTCTACTGATGTTAGGTAGACATAATCATATTCACTAGGCATCTCTATACTTTGCCATTTTGGTATGTTTTTTTATACTGCCTCTTCTTCTTGGAATCAAATTTCTTTATCCTTTGGGAATGCTTAATTCCTTAATGTCAATCAATGTTTTTCACTAAGGAAGCGGCTTCTGAGTTTTTTCAACTAAATTCTTTAATCAGCTTTTGTTCAAAAATTGTTTATATCTGTCTGCATTACAAATGCTAGATTTAACCAATCTATCAACCCAGGATAATATGAAGAGGAATTATGTCCGTTCATTCCTTCCTCTTAGGAACAAAGATACTTTATTTTATATTTTTGAAGAAAGAAAATAATAGGATTAGACTAAGATTGAAAACAACAGTATGTCAGACCACAAAAAAGGCATGTGGCCTTTCTAAAGCTTTCCTGTCTAGTATGGGGAATTGTAATCCATTCATGCTAAATGCTTTGACTATGCTCATTACGCAAAACACATTAGAGCCTGGTATATTTTGTTACCATAGCTCTGCCTACTGGGAACTATAATTAAAGCACATTTGAGCAAATGCAATTTTATTTGTTATTAAGCAACTAAAAGCTTAGTCAACCTTGCAAATGTGGCATTATCTTAAGATTACTATAAGAGCTGGCCAACTATCCAATAAATTTTATTAGATCCTATCTTTATTAGTCACACCTTCCATTTCTTATTTGGGAGACTTATATCCTATATGATCATGGTCCTCAAACTTTAGCATGCACCAAAATCACTACCAAGCTTGTTAAACACATTATAAGGCCCCAATCCCAGAGGTTTTTGTTCCTTAGGTTAGGTCTGGGGTATGACCCTGAAATTTGCATTGTTAGCATGTTCCCCAGGGGATGTTGATGCCTGCCAATATGAGACCATATTTTAAGAATCATTGCTGTAGTAGTGGTTAGAGCTTCTGAGCCAAACCCACCTGGATTTACCTTCAGCTTGCTCTCTCTCTCTCTCTCTCTCTCTCTC